GTAATCTCTACACCCGATGTGGGGCTTAACCTCACAACCCCAAGATCAATAGTTACATGCTCTAACAACTGAGTCAGCCAGGCACCCCCAACGGTCTTTTTTTTTTTTTAAGATTTTATTTATTTAGGGGTCGCTGGGTGGCTCAGTGGGTTAAGCCTCTGCCTTCAGCTCAGGTCACAATCTCAGGGTCCTGGGATCAAGCCCTGCATCAGGCTCTTTGCTCAGCAGGGAGCCTGCTTACCCCTCTCTCTGCCTGCCTGCATATTTGTGATCTCTCTCTGTCAAAAAAAAAAAAAAAAAGATTTCATTTATTTGAGAGAGAGAGAGAGGGAGAGCACAAGCAGGTTGGGGTGGGGGCAGAAGCACAAGCAGACTCCCTGCTGAGCATGGAGCCCAATGTGGGACTTAATCTCACAACCCTGAGATCATGACCTGAACCCAAATCAAGAACCATCTAGATGTCGGAATAGAGCTGTGCCCCACCTGAAAGTTTTAAATGATAATCTGCAAGGACAAAGTCAATTTATTTGCTTTTAGGGGAATATACCACACACATACTGTATGCCTGTGTTTTATGATCCATAATATATGGTCCCTTTATGTAATTGAACTCTATTAACCCAGTAGTGATGGAGTGAATCCTGACATAATTCTGTAAATACTAGTCCTTAAATAATCCAGGAAAAGAAATTATGAAATCCCTATTGGAGGGACCTGATGAATGCCTGATAAAAGCCTATTCTGACAACAAAATAAGTCAAAATTAAGCCTCAAAAATTTACTCATAAGAAAATTCTAGCACCTGAAACAGTTGGATTTGATTTTTGACAATTTATGATGACTTTCTTCAGTCTCTAAGAATCCATTTAAAAGGTTAATAACAATTGTCAGGCTAAAGGGAAAAAAAAGGAAAGAACACAGTCTAGCATAGGCTACAGTTTACATATTACACATATGGTTTTTACGCTTTAAGGAAAAAAAATAAACCCAAGATAAAGGGTTTATCTTGAGCTTCACAGTTGAGGTCCAGAGTTCCAGTTCTCTTCAGCTGCCTATTTCCAAATTTCTGAATCCAACCTTGGCAATGACCCTGCAGGTATAAGAACTTCTGGTTGCTGGCACTGCCTTGAAGAATCTCGAGGGTCAGAGGTGATCCTGGAGCCCAAGAACACTCTGGGGGATCTCCACAGTCACAGGCTAGTCCTGTCCACTCATGATAGAAGAGAACAGCAACGACAACAACAAACTGGAAACACAGTGCTGTTTTCGTAGGCACTAGGTCCCTTTCAGAGGTGAAAGTGAGTACTGTGCCTTACCCATGCGAGATACTCCATAATCGATCACATGGACTTGGGAGTGAATGAATCAAATTTTCTTTCCAGAGGAGTTAATTTCAGGTAGCAAAACTCTGACTCGTGCTTACGGTATAAATAAAAACACTACACTTGGACGCAGTGTTCTTGCTGACTTCCTTCTTCGGAGTTCTGATTCCAAACAACATTGTCGCGCTCCAAAAAATCCAAGTTATTTCCTTCATTTTGTTGACCCTCGCAGAAGATTACAAAGGGGTAGGAAAGCATGGTTTCACATTTTAAATTACTCTTAAATGATCAAAACTCGGGCGAGAATAGTGACTACTGAAATTGAGTGATGTTTGTTTTTAAAATAAAGGTCGGGGGGAAACCACCAGGACCTTTCTGCAGAGAGCTGCAGAGATTTCCACCTCGCTCCCATCCCCACGTGCCTCCCTTGAAAACAGCCCCGCGTTCTGTCTCTGCCGAATCACTAACAGTCACTGCATGCCACCAGATGTTTGGAATGTTCGTGGCCTCACATGACATGAGAAAGCCCATTATAAACCACAGGGTGGTGGTGATTGCAACAGGTAAGCAGGGAGAGAGCACTGAATCCTTGGCTGCGCTTTGAGAATGGCTCACTTCAGCAACCTCCTCTCCTGGTCACACGTCTGTGGAGCGCCAGGCAGCAAGCTGACTGGGCCATGAACTCCCATCGAGGCTTTAGCTAGGCTTGCTCTTAGGATTTTGCAGTTCTTTGGGTACTGAATTATGTCTGAGCACAAGCTAATGACTGAACCCTGACAGACCAGGTTCTGGTTGGCATCTGGCCCCGGCATGATGAAGCATCTGAGAGAACTTAAGAGAAGTATGTGGAGGAAATGGTTCCCACCAACTCTCTCATTTTAGAGATCAGGTAGTCTGAGGGCACACAACGAATCAGAGGCAGGGCTGGGATTAGAACCCTGGTCTTCTGGCCCTAACACACACCGTGCTGTTTATTTTAGCTCTACTGTCAATATTTCAAAACAAATTTGTTTAAACTGATGGTTTTGCTCCAATGCAAAGTCCAAAAGCTAAGAAAATCCCTCAAACAAGAATTATATCCTGGATAGGGTAATAAAACCAATAACTCTACACAATAACCACCTACATCAAGTGAAGAGTCATAACGGATACACAGCCTTGGCACAGACATGGGTTTTTTCCCCTCAGCTTTATTGAGATACAAATTCACATAGCATAAAGTTTGTCCTATTATACAATTCAGTTACTTAATATATTGAGTTCTACAACCATCACTATATAATTTCAAAACATTTTCATTGCCCCCAAAAGAAACTCTGTACTCATTAGCAAGTACTCCCCATTCCTCCCCCCTAACCCCCTGCCAGCCCCTGGCAACCACTCATCTACTTTCTATTTGTATGCATTTGTCTGTTCTGGACATTTCCTAGAAATGGAAGCATACAACGTGTGGTCCTCTGTGACTGGCTTCCTTCAATTAGAATGTTCCCAAACTCCAACCATGTGGGAGTGAGCATGTATCAGTACGCCATTCTGCTTTACGGCTGAGTAAGACCTTACTGTATGGATATACCACATTTTCTTTATGCATTCACCGGATGATGAACATTTGGGTTATTTCCATCTTTCGTCTATTATGAATGATCATGTACAAGATTTTGTGTAGACATGTTTTCAGCTGTCTTGGGTGAATACTTGGAGTGAATTCCTGGGTCATGGCAATTCTATTTTTAACTTTTATTTAATTTTTATTTTTTAAATTTCTTTTCAGTGTTCCAGAATTCATAGTTTATGCACCACACCCAGTGCTCCATGCGATACGTGCCCTCCATAATACCCACCACCAGGCTATATTTTTTTAACTTTTTGAGGAAGTGCCAGACTGTTTCCCAAAGCAACTGCACCAGAAGACATTTCTACCAGAGTGTTCCAATTCTCCACATCCTCGACAACCCTTGTTATCATCCATCCTCTTGATTCCAGCATCCTGACTGCTGTGGGAAAGTTTTTTTTTTTTTTAATTTTTTTAAAGATTTTATTTATTTATTTGACAGAGAGAGATCACAAGTAGACAGAGAGGCAGGCAGAGAGAAAGAGAGAGGGAAGCAGGCTCCCTGCTGAGCAGAGAGCCCGACGCGGGACTCGATCCCAGGACCCTGAGATCATGGCCTGAGCCAAAGGCAGCGGCTTAACCCACTGAGCCACCCAGGCGCCCCCATGTGGGAAAGTTTTTAATAGCAAAAACTGACCTTTAAAATACTCTAGGGAATTATATTCTCTGCTCAGCCATATGACCCAATCAGCCCCAAAAGTGGTAGACTAGGACATAATACTAATTTTGCTGCCCTATCCTACTGCCCGTGGTACCCTCCCTAACAGTTAAGGAGAGTGGCTCTCAAAATGTAGTCCCAAGACCAGCAGCACCAGTCAGAAATGCAAAGTCTCAGATTCTGTCCCAGACCTACTGAGTCAGAGCCTCTGGGGTGGGGCCCAGCTCTTGCTTCTGGTGATTCCGACACCTGCTCAAGTTTAAGGGAAGGCAGCGTCTATTGCCGGGCACCTCTGCCCCTCAATGTCAGCTTTAACCACCTTATTGGTGGTAATTAATACACACCAAGTCCATCATCCTCTGCAAATGAGGATGATAGTGACCAAGAAAGAACTTTCTAAAGGATTCCATTATGCAACTCAAGTGGAAGGGTTTGACACTTTCCAGTAACGAGTGATTTTTTTTTTTTTAAGATTTTATTTATTTGACAGACAAAGAACACAAGTAGGCAGAGAGGCAGGCAGAGAGAGAGAGAGAGAAGCAGGCTCTGCACTGAGCAGAGAGCCCGATGCGGGGCTCAATCCCAGGACCCTGGGATCATGACCTGAGCCGAAGGCAGAGGCTTTAACCCACTGAGCCACCCAGGCGCCCCATGAGTGATATTTTTGATATAAATTGTTCTAATAATTAACTTTGGACACAGAAAACTGAGCTGGAAGGTAAACAGGAATTTCATAAGCACCATCCAAGGCAGGAACACGGATATAATTTCCCTCGTACTTGCTGTCCTAAATATTCCTTGTCCATTCAAAACTTCAAGGAGCCTGCTATCACAGTTCTCCTTTAGGTTTTTGGAAAGAGGATGGCATAAGAATTTCACATTCATTAAAATAAACATTTAAACAATCATTTAAAATACTAAAGACGGCCTCATCAACACCATGTGAAACATCACAAATACTCCTGTGACCCTGAATTTGGGAACTGAATTATGTCTGGTCATGTTGACCACCACCTAAAAACATGAGGAAAACAATTCTTTGGAAAACTACTGCATGTTTCTTTCATATCCATTTAAAAACCTTTTCTATATACATTTCTTACACGCCTCCAGATTCAGTAATTAGGGCAAGAGAAGCCTCTTTGTAGCTAATTTTTGTTACTTCCTTCAGCTGTGGCTAGATTCCTGCTTCTCTCCTCTTCCGCTGGGCTGGGAGTGATCGCATGAGAGAGGGAGGCTGGACTTCAGCCAAACCCAGTGTGCCTGCAGCAACTTCTGCCCCTGTCCCCGGGGGGTGAACACCACTCACGGGTGCACGTGGACGCAGAGGAAGGACCACACAGCTGAACAGCAAAAACCTCACCATCAGAGCAAGATTTGCTGCATCTCTTCCATTTGTTCCCTAAAGCCCATCCTTCACTGATAGGACGGGTTTCTAGAGCATTTCTCTTGTCTGGGACACCATGGTATCTCTGAGTAAATTCAAAACCTTCTTGTAAGTGTCGAGAATATCCTGAGCTGTTGGTCGTTCCGCCGGCGTCTGGCTCTTACAGGCTTTATGAATATCAAACAAATGAAACCGGACCATATCACTCCCTTCAACATGCCCCAAAAGGAAGCTAGAGACGTCTGGAATCTTCCAGATGTCGATCTTCTCATCATAGGAGGGCATGAGGTCATCGTCAAAAGGTGTGTCTTCCCCATAGGGCCACAGTTGCTCTGGAGCCACGAAGTCCCCATGCAGCTCCCGGTGGCCACACTTCACCAACGTCCCGGAGCTGTGGTTCACCAGGGGCAAGGCGTCCAGGTCGTTCACCACGAGGCTGAAGTTACTGGTCAGCAGATACTGTGACAGCGTCTTGGGCAGGTCGTTGGAGTCGCACATGACGCGTGTGCCCAGGGGGCTGTCGTGCAAATAGTTGATGATGCTGACGTAGTCCACGGCCAGCTGCAGCCTGCGCTGCCACGTGTTCAGGTTCTGGTACTTGGAAAGGTTCAGTGTTGCTTCCAGATTGCTCAAGGAGCCCAAGGGGTGATATTCGGTAAGGATAGTGTTGTCGTCCTCACAGAAGCCGAGCAGGGTGACCACGTGTTTACTCTGCAGACCTTTCAGCATCTCCAGCCCATGCAGGAAATCCTCTTTCATCTCCAGCCGGGAGAGCTGGGAGAGCGCCACTTTACGCTCCTTCCACTCAGACAGAAAGACCTGAAACAAAGCCACAGAAAACCATCAACCCTGAAAACCGTCACCTGTATCAGAGAGCCAGAAACCCCCAACGAGCGCCAGAGGTGGTACAGAGAATGCAGAAACAAGGAGACAGAGACCCAGTCCCGGAGAAGCGCTCAGTCTGGTTACGAAGGCTCACCGATGAGCAAACACGGGCACCCAGTGCAGAAGGCAGGATAGGCCCGGGATGGACTCGGGTGAGGGTGCCGGAAGGCTCCTGGGAGTTGGTCTAGAGGATGACTGGGGTTGGCCCGGCAGATGTGGAGAATGGGAAGTGCATCCCTGGGAGAGGGGCCTGGAGGATAAAGGCATGGAGTGAAAAACTGACCGGAAGCTCCAAACACCTGCAGCACAAATGGATGGGGGGGAGGGGAGACGACTAGAAAAGTGGTAAGTCAAGCCCAGCCAGCCCATCACACATCACACCACCACCTGCTTAGCTCAAAGGTAGCAAAGTACATCACAAACAGGAGTCGTTCTCGGTCAGGACAAGAGTTTTTGTTTTTGTTTTTAAGATTTTATTTATTTGGGGTGCCTGGGTGGCTCAGTGGGTTAAAGCCTCTGCCTTTGGCTCAGGACATGATCCCAGGGTTCTGGGATCGAGTCCCACATCGGACTCTGCTCAGCAGGGAGCCTGCTTACCCCTCTCTCTGTCTCCCTCTCTGCCTACTTGTGATCTCCATCTGTCAAATAAATAAATAAAATCTTTTTATTTTTAAGATTTTATTTATTTATTTGACAGAGAGAGAGAGCACAAGTAAGCAGAGCAGCAGGCAGTGGGAGAGAGAGAAACAGGCTCTTTGCTCAGCAGGGAGCCCCATGCAGGGCCCGACCCCATAACCCTGGAATCATGACCTGAGCCAAAGGCAGCTGCTTAACCAACTGAGCCACCAAGGCGCCCCAGGACAACAGTTTTAAGTGGGGTGTGGTTCTGTATTCCTTCAGCTGTAAGAGCAGAAGCAAAAGTGCCCCGCAGACTCTAGACCAGACCCCCCACCGAGTGCCTGAACAGGACACCTTAAACTCCCCATTTCTGCTAGCTAGGAAAGGGTTGCAGGAAGGACTGTAATGAAGAACTTCTGACCTCCTGCTTCAATCTCCAAAGGGAAGGCATTAAGACTGCGGAAGAGAAGACAGGCTCAGAAGTGAGGGTAGGGAGGACTGGCTGCCCTAGGCTGCGTGTGCCGCCTGCGGGCTGTTTCTCTGTGCTGCTACTTACTCACTGCTAAAACATAGCTTATGGTTTTTGGAACCAATGTGGAGTATTTATCAAGTGCCTGTAACATCAAATCCAAGATCTATTAAGGCAATAATCTGAAAGAGATAAAAAGCTCCAGGAATAAAAATCTGGCACTACTTACAAAAGCATAAACTGGAACTTACCCATCCATCAGAATGGAGGGCAAGAATGGCAAGATCACTCAGAATAGTGCAATGTGGTCAACAAAAATGCATATATTGACCGAGTTTTCACAGAGTCTTCACAGATAACAGTAATGTCACAAATGAAAAAGGATATAAAATTTCCTTTATGTTACTGTTCTAACTGCATATAACAAGACAAAATTACATGGAAATCAAAGGAAACAGGCTAATGTTTCTCTTCATATATTCTCTTCATATGGTAAGATTCTAGGTGATTTTTTTTCTTTATGCCTTTCAGTATTTTCCAACTTTTCCAGAATCAATGTATATGATTTCACATTTAAAAACAATTTTTTTTTAAATTTTATTTATTTATTTGACAGACAGAGATCACAAGTAGGCAGAGAGGCAGGCACAGAGAGAGAAGAGAAAGCAGGCTCCCCGCCAAGCAGAGAGCCCAACACGGGGCTTGATCCCAAGACCCCAGGATCATGACCCGAGCTGAAGGCAGAGGCTTTAACCCACTGAGCCACCCAGGTGCCCCTAAAAACACTTTTTAAAAGAACTCAAAAATATATCAAATTGAGGTAAGTTAAAGACCTGTGAGATTTCTTTGGGATCTGACAGGGGAAATTCATTAGTGGAAAAACCCAGATACCCACAGTTGACCTTTAATATTTAAAAGAGAAATCTTTTAAGACCTTTTCAAAAACCCCAAATTGAGAAATTTCACTATGGATTATAGTTTATTATTTTTAAAAAGATTTTATTTATTTGAGAGAAAGAGAAAGCAAGGGACAGAGCACAAGCGGAGGGGGCAGGGCAGAGGGAGAGGAAGAAGCAGATGACCCACGAGCGACATGCAATGTGTGGCACGGGGCTCAATCCAAGGCCCCCGAGATCATCACCTGAGCCGAAAGGCAGACGATTAACCCACTGAGCCACCCAGGTGCCCCTGGATCATAATTTCTTTTTTTTTTTTTTTTAAGATTTTTATTTATTTATTTGACAGAGAGAGATCACAAGTAGACGGAGAGGCAGGCAGAGAGAGAGAGAGGGAAGTAGGCTCCCTGCTGAGCAGAGAGCCGGATGTGGGACTCGATCCCAGGACCCTGAGATCATGACCTGAGCCGAAGGCAACGGCCTAACCCACTGAGCCACCCAGGCGCCCTGGATCATAATTTCTATTAAAAAGTCATTTTGCAACCATGAGAGACTGTGGACTCTGGGAAACAAACTGAGGGTTTTAGAGGGGAGAGGGGTGGGGGGGATGGGTGAGCCTGGTGGTGGGTATTAAGGAGGGCACAGATTGCAGGGAGCACTGGGTGTTCTACACAAACAATGAATCATGGAAGACCACATCAAAAACTAATGATATACTGTATGGTGACATACATAATAAAGTAAAATTTTAAAAAATAGCAATAAAAAAGTCCTTTTGCTTGTATGTCTAAAACTAATATAATACTGTGTTAGTTATATTTGAAAAATTTTTTTTAAAGATTTTATTTATTTATTTGACAGACAGAGATCACAAATAGGCAGAGAGAGAGCGATGGGGAAGCAGGCTCCCTGCTGAGCAAAGAGCCTGACACAGGGCTCGATCCCAGGACCCTAGGATCATGACCTGAGCCGAAGGCAGAGGCTTTAACCCACTGAGCCACCCAGGTGCCCCTTTTGTGGAACACATTTTCCCCATAGACCTGAGTTAACACTGAATCTGACACTGGACTTCAACACAAAAATTGTGTTTTTTGTTGAAAGCCATCACTTCCTTAGACCCACCTCCTCATGGTGCCCACCAGCAATGGCAGGTGGCTTTGGTATCATAGGCCCATTTTTCACATAAAAACAAGTGATCACTCTAGGGAAGCTGCTACAATTTATTGATACATACATTTATTCAACAAGAAGTGGTGGGAGAAGCTCAACAACAGGCCTCATGAATCCTCCTGAACTCCTGTTTATGTTGAATTTTTGTGCCTCAGATAAATGAAAGATTATTAAATACTATTTATTATTAAATAGTATTAGTCTTTGGGATCACTCTCAAATACCTGAAACTTTCAAAGTTAAATATTTGCAAGTCAGGTATTGCTTAAGAATCATTTCTCAGCATCTCTAACTCAGTTGCTTTGTAACACTTTCTAAAACTCTTAGACCAGTTTTACCTTTTTTAAGAAAATTATAAAATTAATCAAGAATATTCTTCTTGGGGGACGCCTGGGTGGCTCAGTTCGTTGGACGACTGCTTTCGGCTCAGGTCATGATCCCGGAGTCCCGGGATCGAGTCCCGCATCGGGCTCCCAGCTCCACGGGGAGTCTGCTTCTCCCTCTGACCTTCTCCTCGCTCATGCTCTCTCTCACTGCCTCTCTCTCAAATAAATAAAATCTTAAAAAAAAAAAAGAAAAAAGAAACAAGAAACACTTCTAAAAAAAAAAAAAAAGAATATTCTTCTTGGCAAAAATTCAAATGCAGGAGGAGATTTCCTTCCCCTGCTTTTACTCCCCAACCCAAAGAAAGCTGTTAAGTGGTGTGTAATCTCCCAGACCTTTCTGTGTGCTCTCATACATGTTAATGTATGCTTTACAAATAGCATTTGAGACTGGGGTGACATAAAGTAAGATTATAACATACATATCACACTGCAACTTTTTTTTCATTTAACTGGTACCTCAGACTTTCCTGTCTGTATATATACAGGTATAAGTCCTTTGTTTAAAGCTGCATAACATTTCACAGTTTGGGTATATTACTCATGCTAGTGAGGTTTTGCAGATGATCATTTCTTTCTTTAAAGTATAATACAATAAAAATTCATGAGATTTGTCATGGAAGGAATCAGATCATGAGGCTCTTTCTCTATAATAGAGAAATTATATGCAGGTCTATAATATTTAGTATGATTTTATGTGAACTGTTACCTGATGAACATTTAAATTATTTCCCCTTCTTTTCTTATTAACAACAGTGCTACAATAAATAACCTTATATTCACAACTCTGCATGTCGGCAAGCATTTCTACAAGCTGGGTAAGTAGACGGGTAACTGAAGAATACGGACTCTATCACAACCCTCCAAAGTCTGTGCCACCGTGCACTCTCTCCACTCTTACATGAACGAATCCTAGGTTCTACAGCCTTAACCGCACTAGATGTTATCAATCTTTGTACTCTGTACCAACCTGATGATGAAAACATTTTACTGTTCCAGCTCATTTGTATTTTCTGACACTGAGCACTTTTCGTCTTTGTTGGCATTTCTGTAGGTCTTCTGTGGAAAGTATGTTCGTTGCCTTTATCCAATTTTCTGTAGGGCTGTTTTACGCTTATTAATTTCTGGGCACTCCTTATGTATTATCCATGTGACGTTTTATTATATAAATGTAAAGGATACATTTTAGAAAATAGTTTATGTGGTCTTTTGTAGTAAAAAAATTAACTGTTATGTAGTCAAATCTGTCCTCATAAATTTAATAAGTATTTATGATAATAAAAAAAAAGAAATTGGGGCACCTGACTGGCTCAGTTGGTAGAGTGTGCAGCTGTTGATCTTGGGGTTGTAGGTTCAAGTCCCATGTTGGGTGTAAAGATTACTTTAATATAAAATCTT